CATAGTCAATCAAACACAATTTTGTGTAAATATATAAATTAAAAAATATATACATAAATGACTTAAGAGTAGATACTTCCTATAGCAGATAGTGGCTTTTGTAGTTGTGTGCCACTGAGTCACAACTGACTCATAGCTGACACGCCAGTGGGTTTTCAGAAGCAGGAAATCACACAGGAGGTGAAGATTGCCCATCCTCCTCTCTCAGAGCAACTGCGGGGTTTGAACCGTGTGCCTTAAAAGTTATCATTATATGAAAGCCAGGAAGCGTGTTAAAGAAAGGGTAATCTGGCAGAGAAATACAGCATTGATTGATGCTTAACCTCCCTCAGTCCAGCAGTCGGTAATATTTATCCACAGTTAAATGAGCCTGTTACTTAAAAACAAAAACAAAAAAAAACCCTCAACCAGTTATCTTAGTAACTGATGCACTTTCAAAAGCATTTTACTTTTAATTCTATAATTATTTGACTATTTAACCTATCCCTGAAAAAAGGAACATTTCAAGTTAAAACTCTTAGAAGAAAATGATCATATTTTTAAAAAATTGTTTTAGGATATCAAAATGAATTTTTTTAAAATCACTGTTATTGGTCACTTGACTAAGAGTGGAATTAGTGGCCATCAAACGTTTCATTTTCAGTTTTATGAAACTGGACCCCAAAGGGTTTGAACCAATGGCTCATCTTCTAAGGAAGATCAAATGTGTACTTTAAATATTAAAGCTTAATGATTCAAGATGTATATTTTTGATTAATTGCATTTCAAACAGTCACATTATATTTTAAATTTCTTTCATTTTTATTTCCCATTTGCTGAATTTCAAATTGTTAAAAGGCAGAACATTACCTTCTTTATTTATCTTAGATTATGTCTACCCAATAATTTCTAACAAATAGTAATGGCAATGACTGTGTTAGTTATCATGGAAACGTGTAACTCGTTCAAGAGGTAGAGAAGAGCCTGAACTCACAGGTCCCCTCAAGGTCATTACTACAGTGCTGTCCTCCTTGCAATTTGGAAAGGACACTGTCAAGTTCACATGGCAAGGCCCTTTGTCCTTGTAGGAAGTCTTGCATCATCTTTCTTACACAGGACTTCACTGTCTCCCACCATGTGAGGTGGGTAGGAGCCACTTCCTCTGCAGAGCTGACTGTTCCTCTCCGAGCAATTCCTTTCTGGAAACTTCCTCCTTTTGTAGTGATAATTCTCTCTCCATTCAACATAGTACATTGATTTTTCTGGAATGATTCCAAATCATGGTGATCCCCCTTTTTTTTAGGGTTTTTTCTTCTTCTTCTTATTATTATTCATTTTAATGAACGTTTACAGAGACTTTGTATTTCCATTCATCCATTGTTGCACTTTTCTCCCTGCCCACCCCTCCCCCTCCCCTGATCGCTCTTCTCTTTGAAAAGTGAAAAAAAATATATTCTTTCATTGTTAAACAATTCCTCCCCACAAGTCCTCTCCACTATTCAGCCTTCGTTCTGGACTCCTGTCGTGACAATAATGCCTAATCACATATTCCTTGTAAGTGGTTTTCTCTCTCATCTGTTTGAATGCAGTATACATTACTTATCCCCTCTTTCTCAGTCTCCCCCCAACCCCGATGTCAGTCCTGTTTTACAACAGTGGTACTATGCAGTATTTGTCCTTTTGTGATGGAGATATTCCACTCAGCATAATGTCCTCTATCGTCATCTATTTTGTATAATATTTCATGAGTTCCTTGTTTTTCAAAGCAGCATAGTATCCTATTGTGAGAATATACCACAGCGTCTCCATCCATTCATTTGTGGATGGGCACTTGGGTTGTTTCCAACTCTTTGCTATTGAGAACAAAGCCACGATAAACATGGGTGTACATCATGGTGATCCTTTTTTTAAGTGAAACTTCTCCAAATATGTGGTGAGCTGTTTGTTACCCCATTCAGTGTCCTTGCCCCGAGAATGAACCTTCCTGGCTTCAGGTGTGTGGTCGGTCTGCAAGCCTTCCCAGTCATGCTACCCTGCTGCCCATTCACCTGGCAGGGATCACCTTCAGTGTGAGCCCAGTGTTCCAGGTCTGCTCTGAACAATCAGTGGAATCCTCACCGTGCTTGTTCTGGACGCGATGCTGGGCACAGTACTTCCCATGATATCCCACCTCAGCATCTGTCAGATCCTAGACACAGTGCACAGTGCACGTTGGGCAGTAGAGAAGGCCGCTCATCGTGGCTTTGGCACATTAAATGAGCTTATGTTCTTGGTGAACGATAGGAAGGGAAATGGGACAAAGAAAGAAGACATGGATGACCGCTGTATTCATTTACAACAGAGATGAGATAATATAGGTTTATTGTTGAATGCATCTAGGCTGAAAACAGAGAATGCCAGAAAGATATTTATTTGTGCTTTACTATGTGAGGACATTCAGTTGTGTGTGTCGTAATAAATCCTGGATACCATTGCAAAGAAGGGGAATTTCAAAACAATGATGCCCAAGCAGAACATATACAAAGGCCAAGGGGTCCCTATTCAAACAGGGCAAGTTAATATTGCATGGTTTAAAATCAGAAAAAGTGTATTCAGTCTGTTTACTAACCAAATTCTCCAAGAAACTGAATTATATATAGGAAAAGAATATACTGTAAGACTCATTAGCAACCTGTGATATGTAGATAGCACAAGCTTGCTTGCTGGCAGTTAAGAGGACCTTAAAGTACATACAGCTGAAGATCAAAGAGCACATACTGCAATATAGATTACATTCCAACATCAAAACAACAAAATCCTCACAAGCGGACCAATAGACAACATCGTGACAAATAAAGACAAGATTACAATTGTTGATGTTTTCATTTTACATCGTGACAAATAAAAGATTGCAATTGTTGATGTTTTCATTTTACTTGGATCCACAATCGACACAAATGGAAACAACCGTTAAGAAATCAGACAACATAATTCACTGGGCAGATCTGTTTAAAATACTCCTTTAAAGTAGTCACAGCTAAATATGTCCTTTTGAGAACTAAGTGATGGTCTTTCAATCACTTTATGTAAATGCAAAAGCTGGGTAATGAAGAAGAATTATCCCTTTGAATTTTGGTGTTGGTGAGGAATACTGAGTATCTCATGGGCGGCCAGAAGAATAAGCAGATCTGCCTTAGGAGGCGTGTAACGGAATGCTTGGACGCGTATGCTTTGGACACGTTACCAGGACGGACAAGTCCCCAGAGAAAGACACCTCACTTGGGACGACAATCCAGAAGAGGGATTGACTCAAGGACAGCCACAGTGGACTCAGAGAACAGATCTGAGGTTGATGTAGAACCAGCCAGTGTTCTGTTCATCTATTACAACTGGACCAATAAGCACAGAGTCCCTGTGTGTCAGGATGAACTTGGTGACACTTAAAAAGCATGAGTGGAGATGACAAGCCAAGAGGAAGAGACCATGTGAGAAGAACAGGAAAGCTTGGCAAAAGGAATGACGAGACCTTGAAGAAGGAGC